ATATGATCCAAGTTTGACCAAGCATTTAGATAAGGAATTTGTATGGTTGCAAGTAGCCAATAGAGCAGTGTTTGCTTCATGATTACTAGACTTAAAGCCTTTGAACTTTATATTTTCTAATGCAAAAGTAATTGCTTCAGCTGGAATGCGAGTAATTTGTGATGTTTCTGTACAACCAGCCATGTTACAATGTAATAAAGCTTACATTACAGGTAAAAAACTTACAATACTCTTTTTTTTAATACTAAGTTCTTCTGTAAGTTAGTCTGCTAACACAAGTCCATATTTACTTAATAGTCTACTCAATCTCCATCTAAGTTATATTGATTACTAATACCTAATTTACAAAATTACATAGTTAAAGATTAAATGAATTTCCGTTATCATAAACAACAGAGCTGCAAAGGCATAAGCCAGTACAAACTATCACAGCATTAATGAAATATATACACTGCTCAAAAAAATAAAGGGAACACTCAAATAACATCCTAGATCTGAATGAATGAAATATTCTCATTGAATACTTTGTTCTGTACAAAGTTGAATGTGCTGACAAGAAAATGACACAAAAATCATCAATGGAAATCAAATTTATTAACCAATGGAGGCCTGGATTTGGAGCCACACACAAAATTAAAGTGAAATGTTCCCTTTATTTTTTGAGCAGTGTGTATATATATATATATATATATATATATATATATATATATATATATATATATATATATATATATCTGTTTACTAATCTAAATTGCTTTTATTTGAAGCAACAAAAAAAAAGATGGAATTATTCTTACCACTTTTAAAAATTTTAAACATCTTGATTAATATAGCTATAATGTTATCGCTAACATTTATACAATATCTCAATTTCACACAAACTTAAAATAAAAACCTATAGGATGAAAAAAAACTATAGAATGGACACTTGCTAAGTGTAGAAATGATTTTTAAATAAACAAGGCTATTCGGGGTATTTTATCTCATTCCGTTCTTTACAGAGTAATGCCAGTGTGACAAGCTGATATTAATAGGTTAGTAAGTCAGGCCTGCAGGAGCAGTCGGCTCCTCCTTGCTTAACACTGGTAGGTTTCATGTTGCCATATGTTTTTAACAATAGTGAGTACCGCTCTTTGTCTTCTTGTAAGTGACAGAAATGCATTCATTAATAAACAGCTGAGAGGTTCAGTAAAAATGTACCAGAGTTTGCCTTCAGGCCAGTTTTTTTATTAGCAAGCCCTGATGTAAAACTGCATCTATAGGATATAACTTTGAGAAACAATATCTTAATAATTAAACATTATAAATTGCAAAGATTAAATGACGACTAAACGTAAGCAAAAATATGTGCATGATGAAGTTGTCATGAAAAATATCCAACGATAACAGCTGTGATCCTCAGAAAAGCTTTGCCTTTTTGTTTGGACGCAAAAAGTCCAGATTCAGAATGTCACTTAAGTGAAGCTTTAAACTAATATTAACCAAACGTTGTCTTTCTGAATGGGATTATGCATTCTCTGGCAGCTCCTCAAAACAGTTTAGTTAGTGCAACACTTACTCTGGCATTTCACTAAAAGTGCTCCAAGGCATAAGGTAGCAATTTTTCAGCAGGCCTGTTTTGACATTGAGCTGCTTGCTGTTACTTGACACCAGGCATCAGTTCATGCTTTGTACAAGGATAAAACGTATCCTAATCTGTCATTTATTCAAGCAACCAGTTACCGTAGGTGTTAGTACATAAAAATATCACAATTTGAAAGTGTTACAATCTCTTTAGTATAGCGTAGCATCTAGTAATTAATATTCTCCCCGGCTCCTTCGGTGTTGTGTAGCTCATAACTCATTTTTAGTCACATTTTACAGTGTTTTCAGTGCCTTAATTTAAATTATGTAAATATTAAAACAATCCATGGATTTCTTTAATTTAGTCTGGTCTCATGTTTGCTGCTGGTATGAAGATATATATATATACATATATGGCAGCTAAAACAGGCAGCTCTTTAGTTTGCTATCAAACCAAAGAAAAAGGGTTTAGTAAGCTTAAGTCAGACTGGACCGTGAATTACAGTGCTTTCAGGATGGACATGACTGACCAGCCGGACACACTGGAACAGCGTTTGTCAGTCTGCTTTGTGACGTTACAGCGGCATGTATAGAATGCCTGCTATTCTTTAAAGCTTTGTTGGTCAGGATGGAAATGGGACGAACCTACACAGTCCGTTGAATAAAGTGGAAACAGTTTGATCGGCGGAACCAACAATAATACACAGCCCTCTCGGTTTTTAACATAAACCGACTGTATTTCCTAGAACACTACTGTGTTCTCGAATCATTATCCAACTAAATTGCAAAGTTTTTTTTTTTTTTAGTTTTTTTTTTTATTTTTTATGACGGTCACATGACAGACAGCAAAAAGCACACACACACTCGTGCTGATGAATAGGGCTGATTCATCCGGCTTGCTCATTGGTCTCTGTTTGGTCCCCCTGGAGACGGAGACGAGCGCTGTGAATACTGTCTGTCAAAAACCATGAGAGCACATCCCCTGACGCTTCCCACTGTAACAGCACTCATGGTGCCTGCAAAAACCACCAGTGTGTGCGAGAGTGCTGAATGGAGAGAGGCAATGAATCCTCCCGCTTCTTTGCCGAGATCGTCAAGAGGAAGGGGACGAGGACGAGGAGAAACAGGAGGGGCGGGGATCTTTTCATGGCTTCTTCATGCTCTTCTATTTTAATGCGACACATTCCCTCCTAACACTGCCCTCCTGACTGGTGTTTATTTTATCTTTAATCACATCCTCTTTTTACCTGCTTACACTAAACAATATGGAAAAAAAAAAAAAAAAAAAATCCACGCTCAAATTCATCTGCCCACGTCAGCTTCTCTTGACCTCTAACGATCTCCGCATGTTTTGTCTCGTCTCTGAAAAGCCTGCAGCTTGGAAGAGGGCTGAAACTCGCATCATAGTGGATGCATTGTGCAAATGTGTCTTCTCCTCCTGTCGTCTGGACTCGGAGAACTTGCAAATACACACATCTTCGTTCCAGTCGTCCAAACGAGTTGCTGTGATCACAGGCTGAAAAATCTTCCTGCGTGCCAACTAAAAAAAAAATACAATAATTTTCCAATGAAATTCTGCCAAACTGTGGTCCATGGCCGATGAATATGCCATCTGTGCTGCAAATATCAAAGCAGTGCACTCATGTGATTCTGTTGTGAGGCTTCATAAGGGTGTTGGCGCTAGAAAGAAGCTTACAGGTTCTTTTTGAGCCAAATCTGTGTAGTTTCTGTTTCGCCGGCAATATACTTCACAGGATTGTGTACTCCCCCCCTTGTCAATTCATTCCACCCTGAATTGAAACGGCTGATCAGTGACCAATTCAGACGTGCTCAGATAGCCTTTTGTTCCTCGGCTCGAATTTGCATGAGAAAAAAAAGTGGTGTCAGGCTGAGGCATTGGAAGCCAAGGTCGATTTGACTTTCAATAAAGCAGAGCTAAACATTTTAGATCCTGGTCACCATTTTCATTAAGACGGTATTTGACTATTAAACTATGGGGTGCCGTGTGTGAAATTGCACAGACATAAATTAACAGTAATAATTTGTGTTATTTAGCTGGTCATAAGAGGAAAAAATGGGAATTAATATTTTCACCATGTTAATCATTCTTGTCACAGCTTCAAACTGTGACAAATGTCAGTTTCAAACTAAATATTTAATTTACCAACTAAATATTTATTTAGCTTCAATTTAAATACTTAGCTCGAAAACATTATTTAGCAAACTAAGCATTCAGTTAGCCAACTAATTATTTGCTTGCTAACTATCTTGCTAACCAAATATTTAGTTTGGAGCTAATTATTTAGCTTGTAAGCTAACTATTTGGCTCTCTAAATAAATATTTATCTTGTTAACCTAAATATTTAGTGTTCATCCAAACATTTAGTTGCCTAACTAAATGTTTAGTTTGTAAAACTAAGTATGTAGCTTGCTAACAAAATTTTTAGTCTGGCGCTAAATATTTAGCTTCAAACTGTGACATTAATAAATAAATGGATAACATGGTGAAAATATAATTTTTAAAAATTATTTTAAAAATAAAATATTGTTTTTTGATAAGCTAAATAACCAAAATTATTGCTGTTAAGTGTTCAACTATGTATTTTTACAAATGCCACTGCATATTAAACAAGGTATGGAAGACTGGACTTGATTATAGCCCAATATATCATGGATATTTTTATTTGAGTGCATATTTTAAAATCAAGAGATGCAATCCTGGGATTTCAGCGGTTCAGAGGTACACTGAATCCACAGATTAGTGAATCCATTATATCACGAAAGCTATTTAGTTCTTGCTCAATGAGCTGCATATTGCAGTACTACTGAGAGCTAAGGCAGGAGGGACTTTCAGAACATGCATCATCGGGTTGTGCATGTTTCGCTGCAGTCCCTGCATGCCTCTATATTGACCAACTTACTCCTACTCTTATAAAACCTGGGTCTGGATGCGATTTTCCAAAGGTGGAGTTATTTGTTTTTTGTTTTTTTTTTTGCGCCAGACATCCAAGCCCTTAAACATTTTTTCCAGACTTTATATGTGACCAGGAAAATAAATGTGTAAATACAGCTGCGTGGCTTTTTGACGTCTAAACACAGAAAACAAGTCATGCGTTTTGCTCACACCTGTAGTTTCTAGATAACAGAGGGTCAAACGGCAACAAAAACCGAGGATGTTGAGCAGATTGTGCAGTTTGATGTTTTCTGCTTCGTGTGTTTTCCAGCTGGTGATGTGCTCTGTTGTGATGAAAATAGGAAAAGCACAAAAACCTAAGAGTTCTTGCATATTTTTTGGCTTGAGAGTTAAACTACTTTTTTATTTAAACCTTTGAACAATCATCTAGCCACTGTAAACATCAATATTCACCCATTTCTTGATTAATATTAGTCATTTCTTATCCGTTATTCATCAACCCTTCCTCCTGATCCTCCTCCAGGTCTGCGGGTGGAGCAGGAATTGGTGACATCTTATCCTCAGGTGGTGCTAGTGCGAGTCCCCACGCCCTGGGTGCAGTCGGACAGTGACATTACCGTGCTGCGCCACCTGGAGAAGATGGGCTGCCGGCTGATCAACCGGCCCCAGGCCATACTCAACTGTGTCAACAAATTCTGGACCTTTCAGGAACTGGCTGGCCATGGGGTCCCTCTTCCCGACACCTACTCTTACGGTAAAAATATTTTTTTTTAGACCTTCTTTAATGACAACAACAAGCAAAGCAAGGTTCTGTACAATTTTTACAACTTCCCAGAATGAGAACAAACATTATGGTGACCATGTTCTGAACCTGAAGTCCATTAAAGGAACAAATTGCACAAGAGTTGTGGAAAAAGTATGAAATGTTTCTTTAGATAAAACCTGGTGTAGATAAAACCAGGGTTTCTTGTAAGAAGTTGTAAAAATTCATCATGAAGCTTCTCCTTCAGCTTCATTATGAAACCTTATATTTTTATTGTATAGTGCTTTGAGAAAGTAATCACACCGCTTAAATTTTTGTCACAGTATTAAATGACCAACACAAGCTTTATTGTATGTTATTGGGCTTTAATCTAATAGACTATAGATACAAAGTGCTGATTATGGAGAAAAACCAACACTGTAGAGTTTGTTAAATGCACTGTGAAACATGGCAGAAGCACCATCATGCTGCGGGAAGCTTTTCTTCTGATTTTTTCAGATTTTTAATTGTGAAACATTGAGAAAACCGTGTATGAACCGTTGTGGAAGGCACTTTAAAAGCCTGCGTAGGCATTTCCTGCTTAAACACAAACTTAACAATTCAAGTTTTTGATAAATGGAAAGAAGACGAGGAGTACAGCAGAGCCTCTCGTGTTTATTTATCGTGCGCTGTGGATTTTTCTAACAGTGCACATTTCTTTGTGTTAAAAAAAAAAACTGCTTTACTGTGGTTTTCATGAGAGCAGAAAAAGGAAGGATAGAGACAGCGGGAGGAAAAAAAGAATGAGCGGGGGCTTTTTGGCCTACATTCCATGTGTTTCTGAGCACAGTAGGCCAGGCCATGCATGCAGAGCAGCTGGAGAGCTTATGTAACCAGCCCCCCCACCAGCACCTCCCCTTGCCCTTTCATTTTCCAAAATAAAGCATGCAATTGCTTTGCTGCTTCTACCAGTGACTACCATAGCAGCTCACCGGTTGATTTGTTATCTGCTATCTCCCTCCACACTTTCAGGCACTTTTTTTTTTTTTTTTTTGTGTTTTTGTTTGAGTGAAAACACATGTGATTTAGCACACCAGGAAAGAGCCAAGTCACAGGGTTGTTTGCATCTGCTGCTTTGACTGCATGCCAGGTAAGTGCAGGCAGGAGAAGGAAGACTCTGAGACCTCATCAGGGGTGGGAAATGAGAAAACGTTCATTTATGTAACCTTGTTTTTTTTTATTTTTTTTATTTTTTGTATTCCCTCCCCAATTCAAAGCAGGAAGCCGAAGCATATCGCAAAACAAGCCGCCATTATAAATCACTGTCAGATATGCTTGGCTGCCTTACATGACATGCATCGGTCAGTGACTCTGCTCCTCTGTTCTGCAAACCAAGGCAACAGATCCAAGCACAGGCAGCACTCCTACAGCATCGCTGTTTTGAGTAACTCTTGTTTCCATGGCAACGTGCTTCTCCCCGCCACCCCCCCTGCTCGTCCTGCCAGATTGGCTGTGATGTGTGAACCATGTCACAGGAGGAAGAGCAGCTCCTAATGTACTTTAATGTGTGTGTGTGTGTGTGTGTGTGTGTGTGTGTGTGTGTGTGTGTGTGTGTGTGTGTGTGTGTGTTTGGATGGGCATTTCTCAGGGGGGCATGACAACTTCCGTAAGATGATCGACGAGGCAGAGCCGCTGGGATACCCGGTGGTGGTGAAGAACGCACGTGGCCACAGAGGTAAGGCGATGCGGCCATTACTTTCCTGTCATTCACCCAGGTCACCACAACGCACTTCAAATTGTCCACATGAAGGGGATTTTAGCCCACCCTGACATGAAATTCATTGACAGAGTGTTAAATGATTACCACTCCGCCGCTGCCACAAACACAAAACCCAGTCTTGTAAAGACGGGTTAATAATCTGTGTTTCTAGTTAACAAACGAGCGCTCCGCTTCATCATTTTCCCTGAGTTCATAAGGGGCTTGAGCCGTTAATATACCGCCTCAAAGACAAAGCGCCCGTTCTTAATGAAGAACCATTAGCTGATTCCTATTCATAGCTAGTGCTTTGTTAGAGGCTCGATGAAGAAATGACCGTGGTATTCGGTAGCCGAGGCTTCCATCACGTAGCGTTGTTCTCCTGGACGGCTGCCACTGCTGAACCATAACTGTGACATGTTTATGCTTGTTTGTTTCCTTATTAGCTGACCATTGCAGTGGTTGAAACCCAGCTTCCTTCAGATACTAAGGCCTGTAAACAAATGTCTAGTCTGGGTATTATTTGTTAGCATTGGACAGATTTAAAATGTCCAAACCAAAATGTAATCTCATTTTGGAGCGTTAATTCAAAATTTATAATAATTGTGTCACAACACCAATAATCTGACTCGACATCGAGGCCTCTTCCCAATATATTCTGATAATAACACTGAGTAATTACCATTTTTGGAAACATGATCCCACAGCTATAAAGTGCTGATCGCTGGAACAGCTCAGAGGTCCAGTATAGAGGCAGAGCTAATTAAAACGGGCATCTTCTATGCTGTGTGAGAAGAGACTCTGAGAGTCCTGTCAGCACTTTGAGACATGGGAGTTGCTCACCAGAGAGCAGCTGCTTGTAAGCAAAATAGCCGCTCAGCCTGAACTCGCATTTCATAATGGACCGCTCCTGCAAATATATGAACATTTATTTAACTTTAACAAGTCTGTGTGTGACGTTGGCCTGAAGAGTTGCTCATTTTTTCCTTTCTTCTCCTCATTTAGTCTCTCCTTCCTTCTCTTAGGCAAGGCTGTGTTCCTGGCGCGCGACAAACACCACCTGACGGATCTGTGTCACTTGATCCGCCACGATACCCCCTACCTGTTTCAGGAGTACGTGAAGGAGTCTCACGGCCGCGACGTGCGGGTGGTGCTGGTGGGCGGCCGTGTCGTTGGCTCCATGCTGCGCTGCTCCACCGACGGACGCATGCAGAGCAACTGCTCCCTGGGTAGGTGAACAGTTGAGAGGCACCGATCACACACGTTTAATTACCCCGCACACCTCGCTACCTCATCCGTACAGTTGGCCGCTCTGCTTCGTTTCGACTGATCTTTAATTTGCCAGACTTCTGTGTTTTCATTGCGGTGGCTTTTATAGCATACAGTTTCAGAGAGAAGCTGAAATACACTCAAGGAAGTAATTTTTGTGCCTCTTTTGGAGGCATTTCTTATGTCACTATAAGAAATATTTGAAATTGTGTCTTTTTAAAAACTTTCCTTAATCCACACTGAATAAAAACTATACACATTCAAATATTCAAGCACTCTTTAAATATTGGAATAAGTGTCCCTTAGCAAGTTGCATAGAAACCACACACTTCTGTAGCTGTTCTGTTGTATATTTATTTGTTGCAATTTCATTATTTTGCATGTATTTGATTGCCACCATAAAGTGTTTACTTTCAAAGGGCTCTAAACTATTGTGCAATGTTTGAGCATTTGTACTTTTATAGGTATATAGAGATGTAAATACTCTTATTTATGCTGTTTTATTATGTCTTTAATTTACTGGCATTTGTGTTTGTGCTGATGTAAAGCCTCACTTTCCCCCATTGGGACCAGTAAGGGAACATTTTTCCTGCCACATAACTGGCTTGTAAACCTGAAAACAATGTACCAGATCTCAGGTACTTTCTTTTATTTTGAAGGTCTGTTTTAATGTGATAATCCTGGTGCTTTGCTAAAAGTGAATAGAAAAATGGAGGTTTAAATTATTGAATATCTCCTCAAAAACAGCCAACCAGAATAAAGTCAAAACCTTTCTCGTGGCTACAAACCCTACAAAAGGTGTTTATCAGAACATTTGTCTGTGTGTGTGTATCTGTGCACCCAGTCGTAGCTGTGAAGAGCCATGGAAACAGATGGTTAGAGTGCATTTACTAAATGTGCATAATATAATAATACAACCAGACGAGTGTAGTCAAGCTTCTCACCAGCACTGTCATTAGGTAAATAATTCACGTCCTGATTTCATCTGTGAAAAGCTTCCTCCTACTCTAAGCTTTAACTCCACTTCTGCTGCCATCAGTGAATGGGAGGCAGCGTTTCAGACTGTATCCCTCCAAATGTGTGGTAGTGCAGAATCAACTCTTGTGTTTAATTCACCCTTAGAACTTAAAGTGACACAGCACTCAAGTTGATGAGGCTGATTTCCAATGTCAGCGCATGAGTCCTGCTGCTAGCCTGCACGAAGATGTGATGCTGTGTGACATAATTAGGTCATCGGTTGGCAGACTATTTATGTAGCAGAACAAGATTTTAGAAATGAAGAAAGGAAATCCGTTTTTCAGTTATAGCTTTCATTTTAATATTTCATGTTTCTTTATGCGTCCCACATGGTTTTCTACTGCATCGGCTACAATCAGTTCTGTTTGTTTATTCGGTGTATCCACTGACCTGGCCTGGTGTCTCTGACCGTTTAGGTGGCGTGGGGATGATGTGCCCCCTGAGCGAGCAGGGCAAGCAGCTGGCCATCGAGGTGTCCAACATCCTGGGCATGGACGTGTGCGGCGTCGACCTCCTGCAGCTCAACGACGGCTCGTTTGTGGTCTGCGAGGCCAACGCCAACGTGGGCTTCATCGCCTTCGACCAGGCCTGCGGGATCGACGTGGCGGGGATTATCGCTGACTTTGCCCTCTCCACGCTTCCCAGCCGCCTGACTCGGAAGATGTCGCTGCTGTCCGTCGTGTCCAGCACCAGCGAGACCAGCAGCGAGCCCGAGGTGTGCATGGTGAACGCGGGCGGAGGCTCCCTGCCGGAGGCCGTCTGCAACATGAGCGTGGGCTCGTCTTCCAGCGAAAGCGACCCCGAGCTGGCCGAGCCCTCGCAGTCGTCGCCTCGCCGCTCGCCGGCCTCTGCCCTGTCCGACCTCCCCGACCTCGCCGACGCAGCGTACAACTTCAACAACCTCCTGGCCAATGAGATCAAGCTATTGACTGAGTGAGAATCGAACAAATTCGCATACACGCCACAATCACACACACACTGCGCATACACTTGTCCAAGCATTCGTTTAAAATAAAGAAACAAACAACTACGCACATATCACTCTGAAACAGATGTTCATGACAAAAAACAGCTGAGAGAAACAGATCACACATTCTGACACAGCAGAGACAAACATCCAAACTGGAGCCTTCCCCTGATGAGCAAAAAGATCTACGGCTGCTCCCCTGACTCTCCTTTCTTTGCATTTTTTTCAAATCCCACGGAGGCATGTAAAATCCATGTATGCTGTCAACTTATCACAGAGGCATACAGCATATGAGATAACTGCCAAAACTGGCCTCTTCTGGTGTATATTTGTTTTTATGTTGGGGTGGGTAAAGAATTTTAGTAAATGCCATGTTTTTAACCCTCCTCACAATGCAAAAAAAAAATGCAAATAAAGGTTCTCCTGGTGTGGCAAGGTTTGGTTGATGGCGGGCAAAATGAAGTATTTTTAGGTTGAATGTACCCTGACGCTAGGCATATCGTTCTGTCGGTTCCTACTTAGCAGTGAATCGCTCCTGAAAATGACAGATAACAAGACGGAGAGACCAAACTGCAGGTGTGCAAACTTTTACGTCAGAAAGTAGTCGTCCTGTTCTGCTAAAACTCATACATCGAGATGCTTTCACAACATTTTTCAGTTTACATTTTAGATTGTGTGTTGGATTAGCAGCAGCAGCTATCTGCTTTTTTAAAATAATAATTAAAAAAATCTCACGAAATGCCTAGCACTTTATTAAAACAGCTTTGTCATTTTCTCTCCTAGACGACATTTTTTAGGAAAGATGAGAGCATATTCGAGTCGTGTCATCACCTGAAAGCAAAATATACCTCAGAACAGAGATGTTTCACTGCCATAGGACATCACAGACACATACAGAACATATCAGCTTAGGCCCTAACACCTTACAGACCTGGTGTCCCTTCCTTTCATGTCTAGGACCTGAAATATAACTGTGTGTAACATTTATGTTATGTTAGAGGTGTTTTTTTTTTTTTTTTTTTTTGTAAATATTAGATAGCGAAATTTAACTTCATGGCTTATTAGTATGCAGCTGATGAAACTGGAACAGCCGGACAGAAAAAAAAATGGCCAAGGTTGCTTTTTTTTAATTATTTTTATTATTATTATTATTTTTTTTTATTTTATAAGCTACTGTGGACAAACTAGATTGTACAGACCTGTGACTTTAAAAGGCTCCGAAGCTGCAATTTGGTGCTAACAGTCGTGGATCCGGTTAGTTCACAGTCATGTTAACTCTAGATTTTTATTGTTCTCATAAATCCTCTGTTAGTTGTTGAAGAAAATCAACCCACCTTGTAAAGAAAAAGAAAAAAAGGAAATATATTTTTAAAATTGTCTTTAACTGAATGTTTTTGTTTTGTTGTTGTTGTTTTTTTCCCCCCTTATAGAATATAGAAAAATCCAGAGATTTCAGCAGCCAAAACTTTATCATTTGCAGCTTTTGTTCCTCTGGATTTACCTTCTATGTACCTTATAGGAGAGGAATAAGGCAGGAGACAGTATTGTCCATTACTTGGGAATATTAACAGGCCAACTTTGATCAAAAGCACAAGTAAAAATCCCGAATCGTCCACATAGTCATCTTTTTTTAGGCTTGCAACCCTTTCTGTTGAACACAACTCAGGGAAGCAGCCTGGATCTCAGTCCTGACCCTTCCAACAAAGGTATGGAATATCCATCCAAGCTTAAAACATGTCATAAACATAACACATACTTACACGTAGACCAAAACAACAACGAGAAAAAAAAAAAAAACAACAATGAAAAAAGGTTGTAAACTACAGTATGACATGTGGTGTATACCATGGTTAACATGCACTTTTTTCCTTGCTTGTTTCATAATTGTTCCATGTTTTCTTCCTAATTTATGGGATTTTTGAAGAAGAAAAAAAAAGTGGTTTGTGTGCACTAATATTGTCTCAATAAAGTGAAACCTCTGTGAAGCTTGTTTCCCCTCCCCCACCCCCCCTTTTCCTTTGTCGTGGGCCAAACTTTCCTGTCTGGGGGTCAAACATCGTCCTGCTGGAGGGTTCGGCATGTTAACCGGGGCGTGAGGGGTGGAGACAGGGCAGCTTTTATTTGAATCTCTCGTGTCGGGTGATCGCAGTGGCTCCACACCGTTTACAACACTACTGTGATGTTGTTTGGTATCAACATGATCAAAACGATCAAAAGCTGTGAAATCTGTTCATGTCTGCATTGGTAAACGCGCGAGGACGGCGAGTGTGGCCGGCAACATCCCGAACACTTCGCTGGGTGGACTGTAACATTCCCCGTCTTGTCTTTGACTCTGCATTAAAGCTTGTATTTGTACATCTTGTACATCGGTGAAGATCCCAGGCATAAATAGCCATCGACAGGAAAGAAACACTTGTTCGTCTCACGCAGATCCTGTTGTGTGATAATTAATTTATAACATGACAGAGCACATCTCGTCAGCATTACCCTGCTAGCTCCGATTGTGCGGTCAGATTGTCTTAACTCTGATTTTTTAGGGTGAGAGCAGAATCAGAAGCCGTTTTCAGTCATGCCTGGCCTTTATTAGTCAGCTGCCATGACGAAAAAATACAGTAAATGAGACAGACGTCAGGAGTAAAGTCTGTGGAGGAGCTTGTGTAACTGGGTGGGAAGCTGTGAACTGCTGTTTAAAAAGGTTACTATTACATGTCCAGTGCTAACCTCCATAACTATTTGCTCATGAAACTAAAAAGGGAAATTAGAATTATTCAAGTTTTTGTTTGAACAAAAATGTAAATGCCAAAAAACGGTAACCTTTTTTTTTTTTTTTTTGTAGGTCAGTACAGTTAACACTAATAGAGAACATAGCAAAGAATGTTTTGACAAAGAATCGTATCTAAACATTTCAAAGGAGGTTTTAGTTGCTGAAAGATTTCCAGCATACTTTTATTTGCAAGATCTAAACTACATTGGAGCTTATGTGACTCGCTGCAGCTCTCCGCTCATGATACATAAACTATTTACTAGGGAGTTCAAGATTGCTAAGATGGAAAATATGACCGCGATTGCATAGAAACTGTCTTAGCAAATGTCATTGACCTTTATTCTTTTTGTTTCTGGCACAAGATTGTTGTTCACAAATGTCCAAAATCATGTAAATACAGATCCCGCTCTTTTTTTTTTTTTTTTTGTTTTTTTTTTTTGATTAAAAATAAAGAGTCATTATTCAAACCAACGAAAATGTGCTCTTTTGCTTTTTATTACATGCTTTTAGATGATTGTCATTTGTATGGTTGTCATTTCTGCCTGGTTTTCCCGTTTTGTCACATTTAGATATTTCAGATCATCAAAACAATTATCAGATAAAGGTAACCTAACTATGAACACAATTTTAAAAGGTTGTCATTTATGACAGAAAAAGTAACCCATATCACCTTGGTGTTTGGTAAAAGAAAAAGAAAAAGCCCAATAAACTAAATAACTTAGTTGTGCAACAACTGCCATCAAGTATTGGACAGAACTGAAAGTGAGTGTTTTACATCGCTGTTGAGAAAGTTTAAGATTCTTCTGCGTAACCTGGGTGCGCTTCAGCTGAAGGTCGCAAACTTTACTGCTAGTAAGGCTCTGAATTCGTGGCTCCATCAGGTTGTGATGATTCATGACAAGCAGACTTAAATCCCCACCATCCTGTTTGGCTGTAGTTATGATCATATTTTGTAAGGATGTAGGGAGAGGCACAGACTCCAAAGAGTTTCACTTCAGTCCTCAGATTAATTTCCCAAAAGTTATCAAGAGGTTTGTTGTTCCCCCCTCCACCCCCCTGCAACTGGTGTGATTTGCTGACTTTCCTTTGATAAAAAAAGGCTCAACTCTTTTTGTATTTGAGTACACCTTAAAGGCTTTCTGTCAACAGTTTCTAGAAACAGGAATTCTAACCACAAATTTCAAATAACCAACATCTTAAAATGTTTGCCATGCCTTCCTTGTTTTCAATCTCTTCATTCAGAACAGTTATTTCTATTTTGAAATTTCCTAAAGAGAGAGGAAAAGTGAAACATCTTAACAAAAGAAGGGCGTCTCGGGGAGATACATGTTTTCCATTTCTTCAAGATGTTTTCGCAGTTTGATTGCTGAAGTAGCATTGAGGAAGTGATGCTTTCCATCACAAATAAATCATAGACTATATAATACCATTCACTTTTATTTATAATTTCATATTTAAGCCATTTCTTTTTAATTGCTTTTCTTTCTGTTCCAAATACAGTTGCTATTGTTGTAAAAATCTACTGCCAGATAGTAATTATTTTTGGACAAGCTCCAAACAAATGTTACTGATTGGCTCCCTGTGAACAACACAACCGTCCAGCAGCTGGACAGATCCCATTTGGTGGCTTCGCTGAATCAGGGTAATATAATACTTAATGAAACATTTCCACCATATTACTCTCCACAAGTTTGAACACAATATTCTCCACTAATGTCCATTGTTTCTTCCAGGTCTCTCCTGAAAGGCGGGTGTTGGATTCCCTGTCCCATTTTTTTGTTTCATGTAAGTGGTTTTCACTACTTTCAATCTCAGGAAGCCTTCGATGGAGTCTCGAGGTCACCTACTTCTGTCTTGTGAGCACTAATTAATACTTTTAATAGATTGTTCTCAAATGCCTTTTGACTTTGTGACGCCTGGTTATAGAAGTCAAGCCGTCCGCTACAATTACTATCCACGTTCATAAAATCCAGATCAGTATCTTTACTTCCTCTGTCACAGCGTAACCTTTTCCAGATTGGTATCACTTTGTCGCTTCGTTCCTCGTTCATTCTTGAATTTTTCTTGGATCCTAGCATAACTAACGCGTAGCTTAATGAGATCCCGTGTCACACTTTTAGTTTCTAGTTAAGCGATCTCTCGGTAGTTCATGTCAGACAGTAATCGGATCTGGGTGAGGCGACTGAAACTGATCCAGAAAAAGGTTGAACACAGTTTATTCGTGATGCATGAAAGGTTTCACAAAGGGAAATGTTATTGTGGATCATTTTTGTTTTCTTAATAAGAACTTAAGTATTTAAAAACTGATTTTTGTATTTATTCTGGTTGTTTCCCCCCCTCCCCCTAATACTAACATTTATTTAATGACCTTAAACTTTTAAGCATCGCCAAAAAAGGAAAAAGGCATCTTTTTTCACAGAACTGCATGTACAATATATTAACAAACCACATACAACAACCAATGATAACTGCATGAATAATTTTATTTGTTAGCTGCTCGTCTGTTCTCTGTATCCACACGTGACTGGACGGTGGGGCTAAACACAGACGGAGCAGATCTTAAGAGAAGAACAGAAGAGACAGGGCAGGAGTGTTGGCTAATCAGAACCAGGTTGTGGTTCGGTCTGCAGACTCTCCACCTGCTGCAGCAGCTCCTGGATGGGTTCTGTCAGTTTATGTTTTGGTATCTGCAGGCTGGCCTGCAGGGCCGTGCTGCCAAAATCCTGAGCCTGGCACGGAAACAAACACAAGCCCAGCAGCTGTCAGAGTCTCTCAGGAGAGCAAAGCTGACTTACATAATGATGTCACTGAAACTGGACGGCACATCCAGCCTCATTTAACCCACTTTATATACCCTAATGACAACCTGATATGCCTGGTTCTTTTATACCTGTAATCAAGTTGATGTTACTGATTATAAGATTAGATATGAATTATGAAATACACAAGGATCCCCGCAATATCTGTAGCATGAACTGCAGGAGAAAGTGGGTCACACAACAGGAGAACGTTCATGAGCACAAAAGACATTTTCAGAAATATTAGAGTAAGGTTATTGCTTTTCGAGAGTCACTGTCATGACCTTAATCCGACAGGAATGTAGTAGAACATTCCAGAGTTCAGTTGGTGGTGGGCGGAGGCCTGGCGGTGCCACCTAAAATGTTTATTTTTTTACTCAAAAACAGCCAATGTTGCATCGGAAGTATATTTTGTTTGTTTAAAATGTTGAAGGTGATATTAATAAGGCAGAGTAAATGGTGGCTTGCAAAAATATTCATAGCCCTTAGTGGTGTCCAAAAGGTGCAATATTGTAGTAAAACAAAGTTGGATTTGTGTAGAAAAGAACAAATTGTTGTAGAACATTCCTTTGCAGAAGTAAAGCAAAGATAGTCTGCCACAATCAAAATTAAGAAATATATTTAAAAAATGAATACTTCATCCCTTTTGTTAAATGTTTTGAGAAAGAAAAACGTAATTTTACTTTTATTTTTTTCATATTTTTTGGTGCTGTTGCACTGTGGGGATGCATGTCTTCAGCATAGATAGGGGACTACAACAGATTTGAGATTGATCAACATCACGGTT